AAGATGTAGTGTGGGTCTCTATGTAAGGACGTAAACTGTTACCAGAATAACCACACATTGAAACATAAAAAGCTCTTCCGCATGTGCGCCATTCTTGCCCACATGATTGACTCCGGGCATCGTATGGACCCCAACGAAGCCTTCAGGGTGATCTACAAGGTCTAAGCAAACTTTCCACTGTCCCTGGTTCAGCGTTTGCTAGTAACAGCAGAAGCAACCACTATCCGGTTGAGGAAGTCGGTTTTGTGTGCGCAAAAGAACCTCCTGCAAGCCTCTAGCTTGACATGGCCGACAGTTACATAACTGTCTACATTTTTCCGCACTTTCTCTTTCTCCTCCCGCCCCTGTCCGACGTCAACAAACTCGAATTGCCGCGTAGGCCGCCGCGTATTATCTACCCCGAGCCCCCTCTCCTATTCTCATGACTAAGTTGCCTGTAATGATGAACGATTTTACCCGCACGTTTACCTTGTATCTTCTACCCCCTTCCCACATAAATGTAATGGGCCGATGAGAGTTTGTCGAAAGCCTTGTACGCTTGTAAGTGATATGCATTAAAGTGGGCGATACCAGCAAAATCAGCGACCATTTTTTCCTCCTAGTTCGCTCTTCTTATCCGTTCCATTCAAATTTAAAGACAACATTTCAACTGTCCAACATAGTATTAAGCGCAATGGCTAATCAGGCCAGTTTGTTTTTGCTGATGTTAGTCTGATGATATACATTTTTTCTCAGTGAATTAGTTTTGGTACATCGCAAACGCGTTATGAAGAACATATTATTGGGAATCGCTGAAGCTTTATTGTAAGCCTAACAATAAAGCCCTGATTATTCTCCCAAGCATGTTTGCCTTGTGGCATTTTTCGGGTGTACGAAAACTCTATCTTTTTCTTCTAATCCTTATCATTAATTTTTCAAGACAACATTCCAGCTATCCGGAATAAGATTAGGCGCAATGGTTGACTAAGCCAGTGAGTTTTTGTTGATGCCAGTCTGGAAATATGCTCTTTATTAATCTCATCGAATTAGTTTTTGTGTAATCCGCAGAATGTTATTATATGCGAATTATTGGTGGAATCCTCGAAGCTTTATTGTTAGGCTAATGGGTTATATATTCTGCTATATGAAAACCATCACGACCACACAGTCAACAAAAGCTGACAGCATGGTTTTCGTGAGAAAAGAACTCACCGGATGGACCTAACGCCTTCCTACCGCTATGCTACCTTCTCAGTGTCAACAACCCACAGACATACAGGAGGTACCAAAACCTACGAGATTTAAATTCACACTGTTGTTATTACTTTCGAATGGAAATAAACTTTGGTTGGGTTTCGATTCTTGACATTTGGCTGAGCGACTTGAGAGCCCTTTCTGTGTTCCGGACTCTAGATAATAACCATCCATCTATCGTATTTTTTAAATTCATGTCCCATGCTCATCCCGACTTGACATTTTCTCTTCCTTATAGGAATGTTAAGTTATCGATTAATTTGCAGGTATTTATGAAATTTAAAGCACCGGCTATGCATACAAATAAAGAAGGTAAAAAGCAACATAGAATGGTGTGGTCAAATTTCAAAACAACCTCCATTAAGGAGAGGGGACTATTCACAAAGACTATAATAAATGAATAGTCCATGTACTTCCTTTAGAAAAGGCTATCGAATAATGATAAGCACTTAGAGGATAAATGTATAACTAATTCATAAATCCTTACTCAGGTAATCTTCTATGCTTAAAAGCTTGATTAAAAACATTGACGTAGATTTGACGAGTTCTTATGCATATTTTCGCCAACTAGAATTGCCCGTCTCGACTTATCGACCTCTATCTTCCAGCTGTGCTGTCACACAGTAGTGGACTCTAGACTCAAGTCATTTGCTGACGTTCTCTATCATACCATGATATCAGCAATCCGGACGTTGCTAGTGCAGATTGCAAACCATCGTGTGTGCTCCATTATGCTTATTGGATGAGTTAAAACGGTCATAGAGTACCACCATTTTGATCAACAACAATAACAACTATCATACTCATACATCCACTCGTTGAGATGCCAGACACAGCGGAAATTTGCCTTCTCGTTAAGAGCTATCATTGTGGCATTTCGGCAACGTAGATGGAGCAGTTACTATGTCAGAGATTTAAACCGATGCCTTATTTCGTAAAAACAGAATGGGCCTAACAGTGAAAGGCATCGGCATAGCATTAGTTGTAGGAACATAAGTGAGCTGTGAGACTGGTCCATTTTTAAAACACCTATTTTTTTACCGCACTGCCATTTTTCTAATTTTAATGGTTAGCAGGTAGGAAAATGCCGACATTCTGACAAATAGATCCACCTTTGCTGGGCTCCCGGCAGCTGTTTTATTTTCAATCGGGAGTATACCTTCACCTATAGTTTTAGAGAGACGTTAACTTGCGATTTTTATTCATGTTTTGTACATATAAACTGATTACGCGGATAGTTTAGATGGGTGCAGCCAGTATTCAGAACTGCATAAAGCATCATCTCCCAGGACGAAGGGACTCACCCGGTTTGTCAAAACCGACACGGTTCTGGAGCACATTTGCGCGATCAGATATTTGCAAGCGAGTAACCAGCACACGCAAACCCCGAGAAGGATAGTGGTGAGACAGAGGCGATAGATGCCGGTCACAAACGCAGCAAAAGTTGAGTGTTTGAAGAGCAAGAGGTGCAGTTGTTGTTGGTCTCGCTGAGAGGTAAGCGGAGCATACTGTTCTGTCTTGTTTTTTGCCTTCTGCGATGACTTGTTGATTTGTTTGCCGAGATAGACTGTAAAGCAGAAGCAGAAGAGAAGTTATGGTCAGAGAATGGTGAGCAAATGCCTAACAGCCAGATCGGCATACTATCGCGCCAAAGCCCTCAGATGCAACAAAATGACAAGTCTAAAAATCCTGGAATCAAGTGAAGTTAATGGTTGAGTAAAAAATATAAAATAGCAAACGTGCGCATCCCCCAAGGAAGACGAGAAAGAAAGTGCAAGGATATGGACCGAATTATGTTTAGACTGACGTTTCGGACACTTGCTTGTTTCCATCGTCAGAGTAACTTAGTGACTGTTCCTGTTTCCCGGGACTGTTTCAGCCTTGCTGCATGCCTGGTATTATCACCACGTTACTCTGACGATGGAAACAAGCAAGTGTCCAAAACGTCATCCTCAATATAATTCGGTCTACGTCCTCCCACCTTTTCCTTCGTCTTCTTTGGAGGATGATGAAAACGATAAGATATCTGGACCTTAAATCTTTGCGCATATACATCTATTTATGTTCTATCCTTCACCTTTTACTTACAAAACTTTCGTTTAAGAGGGAATATAATTTAGTCCGTCCACAAGCGCGTTTTTCTGTTCCGTTCACTGACTATCTTCATCGCCGGAAGAAATTGTCGGACTTAAGCTGATTTTCTTTAAAATGATTTTCGATGGAGATAATTAACTTTTCCTCTAACCATACTTCCTTTGAAAGTGTACAGAAAAACCCTGCGCGGCTTGCGCAATACTTTTTATATGGAACTCGCAAAACATCTTTCGATGCGCGGGTTTTCAGTGTCTGAAAAACGAATGCTGGCGCTGGAAAAAACCTGCCGTGCACTTTTATTCGAAATCCTTTTGTCTTGCTCGGCAATCACATCGAGTTGTATTTTGAAATTCTGTAGTGCACTCTGTTTCCCAGGAATTTGCTATAGAAGACAGACAGTACAGCTTTTGCCAGTAAAGTTGCGAGAACGGCTTAATGACACACGGCTGCAGATAACGGTCGCAGGTAGGCTGAAAATTATAAAATTGTTTAATCGATAAAGAACTGATAAAATATTATTGAAGTTTAAAGGAGCCCATATTGAGTACCGGTATGGAAATTAATAATATTTTTGTTTAGATTGACAACTTTATATCCTGAAGCTGAAAGAGCATATGTATATATCAAGGTGATTTGTGTAAATTCAATACTGCCATTCTAACCATAGGTTACTTCGTTGAACACAAAAATTACATACCAAAATAATGTGCCAAGTGGATCCATGTTAATTTTATATAGTTGCATAACAGGAGTTATCCAGACTTGCTTTGGATCAGCCTTCCGAAGACCAAAAATGTTATACTCGTGCTAATAAAGGATATACCCCTCATAAGTAATAGGGTAACAAAAGACATTGGCCTTTTGACTAATAAATGGTCTCTTTGAATTGGTTTACCAAAGTCGTCATTTTGACGGAGATCGACGACCGATAGTCGTCTTATTCCATATATGACCGAATTCCGACACTAACCGGTGCACATATAAAAACTTCAGATTTTGCAGTGTAAAGGTAAATTTCAAAAATAGTAATCACAGTGTGGGATTTTATTAGTAACTACATTTAGATCGAATGAAGTTCATTTCAATTTAAAGCGATACTATATTAAACACTACGCACATCTTAGGGAGCATGCTTAATTCCAAGCCATACATCTCAACGCAAATTGCATTATTTTTGTCCTGTTGTCGGAGCAGGGCCGCAGATAATCGGGCTGTTAGTTTTTTAAGACGCCAAATAAACAGATCTGGGTCTAAGTGGCGAGTGATGGATATAAATGCTACAGTTTTCTCGTACTAAAAGCGTTCGGTACTCCAGAATCTGGTTCTACGAAAATGGTGTTACAGCCCATACGTAAGTCGTTCTCCTAAAATTTAAAGAGTCGTTTTAGACCAATGCTGTCGATGAATTTAGAAATTACACAACTTGTTTCTCCCTCCGTACCAATCTCTTGATCATATTCGTGCATCAGCAAGCCAACAATAGTTCAAAACCTTAAAAAAACTGATGCTGAATTAAAAACCAAAGTAATTACACATAGAAGCCGATGTCCTTTTAGGGATACTTCAGTTGAATAAAAAATAATTTTCCGGAACTGAAGCCAGACACCCTTGAATAAAATATTCTTGCGCTGTTGATGTATAAGGTGAAGTTACACTTTCGCGTCTATTTTCTTATGAAGAAATAATAAAAAACAGTAGTCTAAAAAGTAGAGAATATTCTAATCAGTGTATGATTTATGGTCCATTCTGTTGAACTGCCGTCCCATATCCCATTCCATTCATGTAATATAAAGAGAAACGCAAGTCATGGATGAGATCGTAGATGGACTTATTGTTGCATAACCCAGCAATTATAATTCACGCCAGATTGAACATAAAAACACATAGTTTATGTTTTTTATGAGGATGAATGACTCCCAAACAACTTGGCTTTTAAAGCAAAAACGGCTGTTAATACCCACTTTCCTAAATAGTTCTCTCATTTTTTTACAAACTATTTGAAATATATTTTGCTTTTTTTGTTTCGGTTTATACTACCAACTTTGAACCAAATGAAAAAAATGATAATTGAAATGTTTTTGGAACTAAGTAAAACCTCCAGAATCGGCCGATTATTTGGTTTAAAGCAAAGTTTCGTGCAATTAGGGATAACTTAATCGTATTAAGCAGTTGAGTGAAACTTAATGTACGGATTTGGAAACATGGGTTGCTCCTCAGTTTTAAGAAAACAATTTCCACCATATCTCATCGCTACTGGCTATGAGAACTGCATAACTGGTTCAGTATCAGTTGTGCATACAGAAATCAAGCAAAGGGTGGCGATTTATAGGGACTAAATGCCGCTTCGTTTACAACGCATAGGCCATAACGATATATCTTTTGAAACCGATCGTTTTACCCTCAAAGGATTGGATCAGGAGGTCTGTGTAAGTTGGGCGTCCGTCTACGAGGGTTAGTTGTGAAATAAACAGACTCCCGGGTCTGACGAATGAGCAATCGCCAACGAAGCGACAGTTTACGGTCAAATATGGTTCGACGTCGATTCGGTAAAAAAAACTCACAAACGGTAATGGTAATACAACACGACGCATCTCGTCTGCAATCCCTTAAGACTCTACTGGTCGCCATCAGAAATTGTCCTGGAAATTCAAATTTTCTTCTTAAGCGGGAAACCGTCCACCTGGGAGCTGCGTGCGATCCGGCCACGAATAAATTCTCCTAAAGAACCAGCATCCGACGAACTATAGCTTGATGGGGGTTTGGACTACGCAGCCTATGTTTTCTGCACTTTGATGAGATTTGTACCAGACGAAGCAATTTCCGATCAAAAACAACGGAAAAGTCCACTTACGAAACCGTAGCACGTAGACAGTTTCCTGTCAGGCAACCAAAGCAACAATATTCCCACTCACACGCAAATAAGTAGATTTAGCCTCCGCGTCCTTTTAACTTCCTTTGCGTTTTCGAAGCGCACTTTTTAACGTAGCCATAAAGTTTTTTTTTAAATTAAAGACTCCTGCAGTACACAAAGGCATGATTACGTGGCAACTGTTTAGAATTGAAGGAATCGTTCCTGCGGGTGTACCCCTTGGGAATACGCCCTGTCTTACTGACGTCGAGCAGTCCAACGCGGTGGAAGACAAACCTGTTGTAACGGCCTTTGTATGTCACAGATTTAGCTTAGGAAGAATGTGGCAGTGAGACTGAGGTAAGCAGTGGATTCAACAGACGACATAGAAGCGGCCACTTCTTGCCCCTATAGCAATTTTAGTCATTCCTTTCCCTGCTCTGTGGCATGTACCTTCACACAGGGTAATCTGGAAGCTCACTACATGTTCGGTTTATCTCTACATTAGGGCTCAGGCTCTTTTTTGTTCATAGGTTGCGACGGGACCTTTCCGATGACCTCAGTGGATCCGAACCCACAGCCAACGCTCTAGCTAACTGAGTTACGTGGCTCACACTAGGAGCCTTGAATTCAATCACACTCGTTTATATGAATGTTACCAGTTACCATCAGAAAAATTTGGGCAGGTGGGCTCAAATCCTTGTCTGGTTGGTGATTCTGTCATTTATACGAATGTTTATCTTAATCAAGTGTTGGCAGGAGGGTTGATGCTGTTCAACTTATCTCCGATGCACCAGAGTGGCTGTCATCTTACTGACTTTCACAGCCTTGAGGAGAATAAAATTGAATAATGATGGCCAGTTGTTCAGGATGACTATACTGGTAGTACATGCAGTTTCGTTCATACCAACAAAATTACCAAGTCAATGAGCTCGTGAGAAAGAATGCAAGTTAACAGTAATATGTAAGTACCAGTTCCTACAATCGCCGGTCTACGGCAAGCGGCATATCTTTGTAAATTTCACTTGGAATTCTACCTTGCCTAATTTCCTCGGAACTTATTGCACAAAAGACAGACTGAAAATCATCAGCTACTGTGTGATAGCAACGTAATATTCACAAAATACCACCAGAAAGTCAGAAATATACAAGTAAAGTACAATACTGGCATCTTCGCAATTAAACTAAAATAGTAAAGAACTACTAGAAGCGTGGATTACACATAACAATCTTCTTAGTAGGGGGCGGAAATTCCGACAATGCGAAGATTCCTGTTAAATGCTTAAACTCGACTTTTAGAAAACGCAGAACATTAAACAATCTAAATAGAAAAATGTCCACAAATATTGATTTTGCGCAATGTACACTTGAGTATGTTTGTCTCTATCAGGTGACATGGCGTTTTGCCAAAACTGAGAGGCTTTTTCCTGGTAAAATTACTTAGTTGCAATTATTTATGTACAGGGGCATTTTACGGAGCATGTTTGGCGAATATGTAATGTGTCCAGAATGGCAGCCAGACTTTCGTCATCTATTTTCTTGAATGGTATGCCTGAAGCAGTTGATAACAGCCCTGGATTCGTTATTGCGCCGATTAACGGTCAAAGAATGTTGATCTACTTTTGCATCATGTATCCTTCTGCTACTGTCATTTCAATAGGAAGCTGAACCCATCCCAACTGCTGAGATTACAGTAATTAAGTTTGAGTTCAAGTCAAATGGAAGAATAGCATGACTGATGCCAAATGGTAGGAAAGCTGCCGTACTTTCTACAATGGCCTGTCCGTCAAATGGTAAAGAGAATAACGACTGAGCCTTTCAAAGAAAGCTGCTAAAATGGTGCATCATAAATTCTAAAACATCCCTGGGGTCTTATATTGCCAAGACACATAAGCGGGTTTCCCGAAATGCGCTATTTCACAACCATGAAGAAACATATCACTGATGTTATCAAGAAAACCATCTACTTCATCTATTTGCATATGCATGCAAACCATGCACAGGGAGAAAGCCATTGCATAAATTAATAAATTTCTCTCAGTAAAACCTCGAGTTTTTCACAATTGGGTCAAATCAAATCAAGCAAATCTGCCAAACTTCCTAATAAATGAATTTAAAGTTAGGCTATCAATAGACTGGATATAACGTGCTGCAGCTATTCACTAGCTTATGCAATAAAATTGAAGGCTTGTATGTTCTGAAAAAACGTAGTTACGTTTACGTTCTGATGGCACACTTCACTTTCTATTCTTTGGTAGCAATAAATCCTCTTTCTTCAGTGTCTGGTGAACTTTGACGTACATCACGCCCTTATTTGGCTAAATTATCGGTTAAATTGCCAGTTAAAATTTCATCCTTTACGAAAACGGTCATCCTTTTTTACTTCGCCTCAAATGAGCTATTTCACAGTACTGTTGCTTGAGGAACACCATAAATGTTTTGAACGAGCAACAATTCCTACGCTTACGTATTGCTCCCTTTAGGCGCAGGTATCTTCATAGAAACATAGTATCAAACTGGAGAACATTTCCTTCGAAGCTAGAACACAAATTTTTATGTATCAAATTTATGACCTTTTCGCGTCTTGCTTCTCTACCGTGCATGCAACAAAGGATATTAAGGGGTCAAAATAACAGCTGACGTTTGGTGGTGTCGGCGGTTAAATGCCTCTTTATAGCAACACTTGGGAAACCTCTCAATAATTTAGGCAGTCGGTTTTTCAGAACGTTTTTAATTACTGCTGGTGACACGCCAGCTCTCACATCATGACTGAAAAAATACCCAGTCCTTAGAGGAGGTCATTCACGGCCATACTCGTAGCACGTTGGAGACGCTAAATTGTAAGCTCTTACATAAAGAAATATAAACTTATCTTAGTTTTGTCGCCTAAAGCCACGGACTTTATTTATTTCCGAAGAGAACGGGCGTTCTTAGCTAAATCGTGCATCTTCACTTGCATGACGAATATCATGCTTAACAAAGATTGTTCTGCTTTCGTTTAACCAACCACAGACCTTAGCAGAGGCTAGAAAGAGAAGCCAAGGCCTACACGCCTATGAAGTCCTACAGTACTTCCTTGCCATTTTGTAGGTTGATTTTTCTTGACTTTACACCTCGCCAGTTTTCTTCTAGGATAAGTTCTGCATATTTTCGATATTTCGCGGGATGTTTTTATATATTAATGATATTCTTACTTGGGAGTACACAAGACAGGGTTTAAGGGTATAGTTAGTGTTTATAAAAGTGCAAGAGTAATAAGGCTTATAAGAGCGTGTGAAGAGCTTGTCAAGTTCAAAGGTATATATTTTTTTGAAAGCAGAGAGGCTCGTAGGAAAATCTAACTGCCATCGCGAATTTTCAAGTCAGCCTCTCGTGTAACGACGAGTTTACCCCTATTTTAACAAGCCTGACTTTTAAATTGACTATAAAGATCTCTACGGAAATAAAGGCACTTATTGCGAAGACCGCTGATAAATGCCGGATCTTCAGTGAATATGACCTAGAGGCCCGAAGTTCGTTGACATGAATTTGCAGCAAGTAAATGCACACGTAAATCTAAATATTCCTACGCTAATAGCTACGTTTTTCTGTTCAAGCTTGTTCTACATTTAAACTAGGCTGTGTTCGTTTTTTCGCGTAACATTACATCTGGCTCTCCAAGCCGTCCAAATAACTGGCCATTTGTTATACTGGCTGACGACACATAAACTCAAAATTATCATTCAGGTCTCTCACTCTTGCCAGCATTCTGACATGACCTGTCAATACAGTCTGAAGATCTCCTAGATAGTTGCAACCGTCATATTCCAACATCACTATTCTAATTCCGTTAAAATTATTTCTGCCCAGCTTGAAGAGTACGGCTATTGGGCTGTGAACGACACCACTGCCAGGGGATAATTAATCCAATCCCGACTATTCATTACGAATTATTATCCGAAAAATTTAGAGAGAGAGAGAGCGAGAGAGAGAGAGAGTAATGCGGAGGTAACCCGCTTTAACGCACCTTCAGCTGCTGAACTGATCGGCAAAAAGGCACAGATTGGCAGTTTGAGCTGCTCAGTCACCATCGTGGACAGAATTCCCAGAGGTGCGATGTGGTAAGATGAACTGCTCTTCTGATCCAAACTCTGACAAAGGGAGCTCTCCTGGACGGTACGAACTCTTTGTGTGGCATGCTCCTCGGAGTCAGCGATGGAACAAATTTCCTGAAGGTGCTGTCTGGCTTGGAAGTCCTAAAGTAAAAGAAAGCAAGTAGATATTGTTGCTGATCATGAAGCAGGAACCATAAAAACGATACTGGATGTGATCCTAGATCAGATTTTACATATTGGACGTGACCGGAACAAACTGCATCCCGTTATAGTAGTGGAAAATTCGTCCCATAATGTATCTGTAACTCTCATTAGTAGCAACAATACAGCTCGTGAAAAGTGAACTTTACTTGAAAAAGCAAGTAGAAGGCAGTACGAGGGAGATCTGAGAACAAGAGTGGCGTGAACCCATTCCGAACCATTTTTCTAATCCATGAAGTTGGAGTGGGAGTTTCGTTATGGAGTATCGATAGCTTCTCACTCCACACTCTGTTTCAAACGAGGATTTACGAGGTCACAGTTACTACCTGAGCATTTGACTATGTTTTATTTGGTTGTTGAGCAAATGAGTGAACAGACCCCCTTACCATAACCAGACACTAATGAAGTATGGAATCAAGTGAGTTATAACAGATTACAAGACCTGGCATCTTGAATGTCTCCTAGAGCTATTCAAAATGTTGGACTATGGGACGATCTTTCCGTCAGGACGTTAGTTTGCAAATGAACTGTTGAAAGTGGAGCATGATTGAAGCTAGTTCTCTCGCGTTATAATCATGCAGGTATTAGAGGGTAGAAGAAACACAAACAAAACCAATTAAAGTCGGAATTGATGATTTTGGTTTGTAAGCAACCGGTTGATATAGCTGCTTGCTGGTGGAAGAAAAACATAAATGACTTCGTCTTCTACGCATTCTTCAACAGTTTTGGATCATAGGTGGTCTGCCTACATCATCGCGGCGAATAATCTAGAAATGGCATTGCAGCATCTGTCTGCCAACAAGGAATTTAGATCGTAACGTCAAGGCAACAGGGAATGCACCTGTTTCTTCCTTCAGTCGCATCAACGAGACACCACTTTAACGTGACTAAAGATTACTCGTTTAAAGTTTAATGTAAATTAGTAAAACAGTAGTAGTAGTCCGTTCATTGACGATGGAAGCGAAGAGGAGAGTTCGAGAAAGCTGTTCATATGAAGAAGAGGATATGAGCGAAAGACGAAATTTCGTGACTAAGAAACAATTCTATGGTCCCTCTCCGCACAGAACACAGGATGCCACACATTATATTCCAGGAATGGTAAATATTACCGTGTCCTACGCCTTAACATTATTTTTAACCCAGACTCTAATCTTGATCTGAATTGTAAGCCTAATTCCCCCGAAATTTAACGCCGGATCAGCTGTCCTGTCGAGAGGAGGGGTGGGGACAAATAAGCTACCCCTACCGTTTCTTGGTCTGACTTTTCAGATTCTTCGAAACATCGATCTTCAGAGTCAGCCGCAGAAAACGGTGACGGGGGTCACAGAATGCAGTATCCATCGGACGCATTTGCCATGTCATCGTATGCGCACTATACTTAACTGCAGTTGCGTTCATCGCTGGAAGTCGTAATTGATGTGCTGATGGCTTGTGCGTACATACCCCGGTACCTTGATATCCCCCTGATGTAATCACCATGATTGATTCTTGGGGGGATAATTACTTGGCCATTTGTCAGCGCAAGTGTTGATGGCCTACGCCTTCACCGCGAGCCCAATTACACCACCCAGATAGTGTCAACACACGATATGGCAGCGATGAGTCATTATGGTTGTTAATCCCCCTTCGGGCCGGATAAAGATGACTCAAGTAGCTCGTGGCTCACGCGGATGTCCCCTCCTGTGACGGACAGAATGGCTTGTGTGGCTGCCTTAACAGGACACGGAAATAGGACCCGCCCACAATAGATGCGACGTTGCGCTAAATCTCGGGGAAAGCAGGTTTAGGGTGGAGGTGAGGGCTGCGGTTAATTTTAGGGTTA